CTTCACGCCCCGCTTCATGGTCCACTTGCTGGTCTGACTCTGCTCGTGAAGACCCAGAAGAGCCTCCCATTGGTTAGCCTGAGAGAATCTACATGGAAAAACAGACTTGGGTATAGATGCCAGGTTTGTTCTTGCGAGCGCAGCCTTCGCCCCAGCTCGTCACACCAGCCAGGAAGACCCGCCCCTTGGTGCTGGTGAAAGACAGGGGTCCACCAGAGTCACCCTGAGAATCAGAGAGGAGAGAGATTATTTTCAGCTTGAAGGTTGTCTGTGAGTCCCAATAAGCATTAAAAAAGGACATATTAACCGTTAAATTAAAATGTAAAAATGTTTTGACTGTTTACACATGTGCTTTTTTGTAGTTTCCTATCTTTGTTTAGTCTTTTCTACAGAGCCAAATCAAAAATGGGCAGTATTTGCTCTGCAGATAAGACAGATCAGAGGATGCAATCAAGTGTCAACCTCAAACCGCTAAGCTGTGGGACTCCAGCGAACCACAGTGAGAGCATTAATACACAAAGGGTGAAAACATGGAGCAGTGGTGAACCTTCCCAGGAGTGACTGGCCGACCAAAATTACCCCAAGAGCGGATGAACGGCTCATCAAAGAGGTCACAAAGGACCCCAGGACAACATCTAAAGAACTGCAGGCCTCACGTCTCTCAGTTAAGGTCAGAGTTCATGACTCCACCATAAGAAAGAGACGGGGAAAAATCAAAGGGAACATAAAAGCTTGTCTCAGTTTTGCCAGGAAATATCTTCATGATCCCCTTTTTTGGGACTTTTGGAAAAACACTCTGTGGACTGATGAGACATAAACTGAACTTTTTGGGAGGCGTGTGTCCCATAACATCTGGCGTTAAAGTAACAGCATTTCAGAAAAGGAACATTATACCAGTACTTTTGGGTTTTGCAGGACAATGATCCAAGATAAACCAGCAAGTCCACCTCTGAATGTCTTAAGACAAACAAAGTGAAGACTGTAGAGTGGAGTAGTCAAAGTCCTGACAGGAATCTGACTGACATGCTGTGGCGTGACCTTAGAAAGGCATTTTCTACTTGAAAACCCTCCAGTGTAGCTGAATTACCCCAATTCTGCAAAGATAAGAGAGCCAGGTTTCCTCCACAGAGCTGTAAATTACTTTGATTGCCATTAATTGCAAACGCTTGATTACCTTTATTAATTCTGCAGCTAAAGTCTTTGTAGATGATCTAACATGTCAGTATGAACTGTGCGTCCCTCAGACTGTGGCGGCACGCTGACCGGCGAGAAAGGCTCCATCTCTTCACCGTTCTTCCCGTCCAACTACCCTCCTCGCACCACATGTGTGTGGAACATCGAGGTGAGCCTTCATTTTACTGAGGCTTCTGCACAGCATCCTATTTGTTCCCACAACCGCACTCCAGCAGACTCATGGTAACAGACACCTGAACAACCAGCAAAGACCAGCAAACTGCCAAAACACCTGTTTTTATAGAGGCGCTCACTCTGCATGATGCTCAATTACTCGAGTACTCACTCTCTTAATAGGAGTGTACTTATTTTTCTATCACTCTTGCATTTTGGCTTGATTATTGTTTAATTAATAATTTGCAGGACATTTAGTGATTGTATGCAACTTTAAATTCTGCCTCCAAGTGCAAATGTTTCACTGCCAACCTGAACACAAACTGAATTTCATTCCCTCCACTGAAATGACGCTTTTCAGTTAGCTGACCTAGAACCAAACTAACTTTTCTCTTACACTGACCAACCGAGTCTTCAGCAAAACAATATAATTATCATTTAGAAAGATAAACCCCATAGATGATGATGATGACGACAATGACATTTTTCCATCATTGCTCATTTTAAATTTATTAAAAGCACAAATCAGAAAATCTATTTATTGGACTTATTTTTATTAGTTGATCATGTTTTGAATATTTTACACTCCTGTTTTATTTGTTTCATTTGTTTTTTACTTTGTTTTTCAGGTTGCAAACAACAAATTTCTGAAGGTTCTGTTCAACAAGTTCTCGCTGGGAAATAAAACTGAAGGTTGCGGCCATGATTATGTTGAGTTCAATGATGAAAGGTCAGTAACGAGCAGTGTTATGCCTTTTAAAGAAAGATTATTCTTAGTATACAGTGCTGTTAAAAGGTCTTACATTACCACCAATGTCATTATTGAATAGCTTGAAGAATGGAAAACTAAGTGAACACAATACACTTAGGCTACGTTCACACTGCAGGTCTTAATGCTCAATTCCGATTTTTTGATCAAATCCGATTTTTTTGTCTGCTTGTTCACACTACAAATAAAATGTGACAGCAAACGCGCTCTAGTGTGAACCCTCAAAGCCCGCATGCGCAAAAGAAGACGTCACACACAACGCGCTCTGTTTAGACCCAGACCAAACAGCATTGTGTGACTGATGGCCCTTAATATAAAGACTTGTTTCGGACTTTACGTTTCCCAATTTTGCTTTAAGTTATAAAGTTATTTTGTTATTTACATATGGCCTAATAATGATCCTTATTGCTGTTTTAGAGGAGCGGTGCTTCAAAGGATAGTTGCAGATTTCTGTCAGAATCTGCAGATTATACAGTACAAATAAAATGTTCACGTTTCTCCAACGTTGTCTTCCCAACAGTTTCACTGGATGGCCAGGAAGCGTTCACGATGTCTTCTCCGGCGCTGATAATTGGCGTCTGTCTTGTGTCGGTGACGTAAAAGATGGATTTAATGCGACACCACCTCCACAGGACAAGACTCAGCAGTCCATCTGCATCTAAAGGTCAAAGGTCACTCTTTCGAGGATGCCAATGTTCACATTTTGGACAGAGAGGACAGATGGTTTGAAAGAGGAGTGAAAGAAGCATCTATGTCCACTGTGAGCGACCATCTTTGAACAGAGGCGGGGTTTACGACACCAACTCTCTGCCATCTATAATCCAGTTTTGAGATCCCTTCCCAGACGCCTTAACGCCCACTCACATCCTGGGCCATCTGACCTCAGGAAATTCGCATGATAAGGTGGGGCCAGGTTTCACAATGAACACACCCGAAACTCTGGCTGATTGGGACCCACACCCAGTTTCACACCTTGGCTCAGGCGATTAGAGGGATCATCAGGGGGTCCTTTTGTCCCTCTGTGGGGGGAAACTCCCACTAGGTTTATATCTGGGACTCTCCACCATTTGACCTTAGAACTGAAGAAGCTTCTCGGATGAGAGGTGAAACGTCTTCAAGCAACTTAAAGAAGTCCAGACGCTTTTCTTTCCAAACTCCTTAGACAGATATGTATCAGATTCAGCACCACATACAAAAGTGACCCAGGTCGAATTTGAAAATCAGATTTGTGCCGTTCACAATGTCACACCATGATCGGGTATGGTCAAAAAAGTCGGATTTGACACGCTTTCGCCTGCAGTGTGAACGTAGCCTATGAGGCAAAAACCTGGAATGGCTACTTTTTATTCTTGGGCAAGTGTTTTTATCATTTCTTGAAGTTGTCTTCAGGAATAGTTATCCAGGCTTCCTGAAGATCATTTCAGAGGTCTTTGGATACTTGCTGATTATTCTGATTTCTGTCCAAATGTTTACTGACTGTTGCAGTAATGTTGAGGTCCAGGCTCTGGGAGGCGAGTTTCCTTAGTGATAGTTTTACATTGTCTGCTTTTCGGCATCACTGCATAGTTGATGCTACTGCTAATCAGATACTCACCAGATGGTGTTGCATGGGGGATTAAACCCTCACGATACTTCCATAACTCCATACTTTTGAACTTTCACCCAAACACCATTTTTTGTTTACAGATGGCTGTAGACACTCACAGTTTAACTCTGTGTCTTCATTGTATATCTACAATCTTTATAGTTTTAATATTTTTAACCATATGTATAACCTGTACATAGCTTGTACACTCACTACAGCTACAGCCTGTACATACTTAAAGTTATAGTATCTTCATAACATACCTTCATATGTGTAACATACCTATAATAGATCTATATCCTGTATTATATCTATATTATTGCAAAATTTGTTGCCTCATACTTGTGACATGTGCAATGACAATAAAGTAGAATTCTGTGTGTGTGTGTGTGTGTGTGTGTGTGTGTGTGTGTGTGGGTGTGTGTGTTTGTGTGTGTGTGTGTGTGTGTGTATGTTGTGTGTTGTAACCTAGTTACATTGTTTTGTGTTTTTTTGTTATAGGCTGTGTGGCAGTGACTTGAAGAGCCCAGTGTTCACCATCAACAGCAACAAGATGACCATTACATTTAAGTCGGACTCCTCCTACGTTGATCAGGGCTTCACTGCTGAGTACGAGGCCTTCACCCCGAACAATCGTAAGGATACATGCTTAATTTAAGGTCTGTAGCGTTCTCTGAAGCCGGCGAACAAATGAGGTACTATTATGTTTGTCCTATCAGCTTGTCCAGGAAGGTTCACGTGCAGCAACAACCTGTGCATCAATAACACTCTGCGGTGTGACGGCTGGGGCGACTGTGGAGATGACAGCGATGAGATCAACTGCAGTGAGTCCAAACCGTCAAACTTCTTTCTGTCTGAAAAGAATGAAATTAAAGGAGCACATTGAAATGGTCTTTCACCTTTTCTGTCCCTAACAATGTTGGGTTCTCTTTGTGTGCCTCATTAGAGTGTGATGCGTCTCAGATACAGTGTAAAAATGGTCACTGTAAACCAAAATTTTGGCTGTGTGATGGGGTGGACGACTGTGGAGACAACACGGACGAAGAAAACTGTGGTGAGTGCAGCGGAACAATAAACTGGAGCTATTTCAGCAGTTGATGTTTATTTTAAACATCGCTTAAAGTTTATTGCACTAAAAACTCAGGCAGTGTTGTCAGTGACAGAGGATATCCCAAATATGCTCTTGTTAGACAAGTAGGTCTGACTGCATTTGCACTAGCCCCACCTGCCTGCCAATCAAATCCTTTATATTTGGGAGGGGCAGCCAATCAGAAGAAACCTGAGGAGATTAAAAAAAGGAGAATAAACTGAGGGTCTGCATTAATAAAATGTATAAAGACATTCAAGTTGAGGGAAATAATAAAAGCCAAACAGATTTCCTTTTTTCAATAAGTACTGATACAAAGAATTAGTTGAAACTTCGCCAAAGCAACAGGCAAATTTTATCACTTTTCTCCAAACATTTTCAAGTAATATGTGCATAAATAGTACTGTAATAAAAACTGGACTATAAATGCAAGGTGGCAGATAATGCAAGAGGTTGTTCTGCCGGTAAAGCCAGTTTTGTTGAGGAATGTAGGAAGCCCAGCAGGCAAATCAGACCAGAGGGTTGTGCAATCACATTTCCATAAGAATCTGTTGACATGCAGAGGCAGTGTATGTGGAAGAAAGGTGGAAGACTAGCCTGTGTTTGTTTGTGTTGAAACTGACTCCTTTAAAAGAGCTCTGGAATTAAAATAGCAACAGGTCAAATTAAACACTCGAGTAGAGGGTAGTAAATAAGTGATTTTTCTCTTGTTTTACAGAAACATGCAAAGGGCAGTTTTCCTGCAAAAATGGCCGCTGTATTGCAGAGAATTTGAAGTGCAATGGAAAAGATGACTGCGGTGATGCGTCTGATGAGTCCAAATGTGAAAAATGTAAGAAGTAAAGTTCAAATAAGAACTTCTGAAAATGTATGGTTTTGATGAAAATCTTTAATCAAACAGCATTTTGAGGTAAAGGATACCTGTGGGTCAGAGTTGCTCACTGATACTGCACGTGTCTCTCGTCTTTCAGCTTTGGTGCTGCAGACATGCTCAGAGTTCACCTTCCAATGCAAAAACAAACTCTGCATCAGTAAAATGAACCCAGAGTGTGATGGAGTGCAGGACTGTACCGACGACTCTGATGAGGATAACTGTGGTAAGTTAACCACACACTTGCCTACAGATGGTTGTGGTATGGAGTTTAGTGGCGGTAACACCTGCACGTATGTGTGCTTTCAGAGTGCGGGATAAGGCCGTACCGCAGCTCTCGCATCGTGGGAGGACAAGCATCTCGGGAGGGCGAGTGGCCCTGGCAGGTCAGCCTCCACTTCAAGGGAATGGGACATGTGTGTGGAGCCTCTGTGCTGAGCAACCGCTGGCTGCTGACCGCCGCCCACTGCGTCCAAGACAAGTAGGAGCTCCTCTATCTGAAATGACAGGGCTGAGTGTTTACTGATATGAAGTGTGATTAAAAAGTTCTAGAAACAGACCTCAGAAAAATCAAAAACCTTATTTTAATTTTGCCCATCTCTCTCCTGTTCTCACCACTTACACTGAGTGCTCTCTATTTCCAATGTGGACGTCAGACTTGTGCAGACATCAGCTTTTGTTTCAGACCAAAATTCTCTGTTAAGCATCACCGTTGATGAGAATTCAATCTCCAACTATAACAGAGACATTTTGTCCTTAGAGGCTGAATTCAGACTTTCAAAGTGTGAATATGTCATTACAAGTGAGCAGCAAGACCAGCGGCCTGTGGAGCACTCATCATCCGTGGCACTTTGTACTGTGAATCCCTGTTTAGATTGTGAACACTGTGTCAGAGATGAACTTTAGGTAGAAATGACTGGGACTGTGGTTGTGCCGTCATCTGTCAGCGCACTGAGTGCACTGAAAACACGAGAGCCTTACGATCGTGGCTCAAGAGTTGGGAGTTCGCCTTGTAATCGGAAGGTTGCCGGTTCGAGCCCCGGCTTGGACAGTCTCGGTCGTTGTGTCTTTGGGCAAGACACTTCACCCGTTGCCTACTGGTGGTGGTCAGAGGGCCCGGTGGCGCCAGTGTCCGGCAGCCTCGCCTCTGTCAGTGCGCCCCAGGGTGGCTGTGGCTACAATGTAGCTTGCCATCACCAGTGTGTGAATGGGTGGATGACTGGATATGTAAAGCGCTTTGGGGTCCTTAGGGACTAGTAAAGCGCTATATAAATACAGGCCATTTACCATTTTGATATGAATCAATCTTTGCTCACCCCAGTGCTGTTCACCACATTTGAGTCACTCTGACTTTTTCACCGCTGTTAAAATAAAGGACACTCCTTCAACTAGATTGCATACACTTTGTAGAGGCATGGGTATACGTGGGGGACACGTGCAGAGTGATCGAAAACTATGAGATGCACTCAACTGTTTCTTTGCAGTTCAGAACCTAATAACTTCTTATATATCACAGAAGCATGATTACAGACCGGCTGTTTCAGTATCACTAACTACAAAATGTCTTTTCCTGTATATTATACATCCTGCTCATTTGATCTCTAACTACTCCTCCCAAAACCAGACACAAGTCACATCCTTTCTAGTGGAGCTCTAGCTTTGAATTCTGTGTACCACAAATTTGACAGTTTTTTGTTTTTTTTAATGTACTTGTATGTGCTTTTTAATGTAAAATCAGACAAATGACATAAATGAACTGAAAGAATTCCTTGGCTGTTTTTTCATGTAGATTCTCTCAGGCTAACCAATGGGAGGCTCTTCTGGGTCTTCACGAGCAGAGTCAGACCAGCAAGTGGACCATGAAGCGGGGCGTGAAGCGGATCATCGTTCACCCGGGCTACGACCCTGAGACCTACGATAATGATATCACTCTCATGGAACTGGACAACAGCGTCACGCTCAACCAGAACATCTGGCCCATCTGCCTGCCCTCCCCCGCGCATGACTTCCCAGTAGGAGAAGAGGCTTGGATCACTGGCTGGGGAGCTACCAGGGAGGGAGGTGAGATGATGAGAATGGCGAGAACACAGCTTGTCTGAAACGTCCGAATATCCCACACTGGAAGTGTTGTGGAAGTTTTTAAATGCGTCTGCAATGAAACGTTCCCACAAACAAACTTAACTGATCCCACAGATGTGTCTGCCCAGCCAGCCAGTGGATTCAACACTAAGCATTGTTCTGAAAGACCTAATAGTAAAGATAACAATGTTCCTCAACATAAAATTCACCCTACTACAGCACTTCACTCTCAGACTGCTGGTTCAAATGTGCGATATTTACATGTAAGATGAGATGCACAGCCTTCATTTTTCAGGCCCTCTTCCACGGACCTTTCAGTTTGCAGACACACTCTCTGCTTTTAAGATTAGGCTTAAAACTTTCCCTTTAGACAAACCTTAAAGTTAGAGAGAGAGCCTAAACTCTCCCTCACTGCAATAGGACTGCTGGGAGCTTCTCAACTTGCCCTGTGTTTATACACCACTTTACATTTTACAGGTATAAGAGTATTTTTGCACCTTAAAAACCGTTATAATGTTTTTGGGTAACTGGATAAGATGAATAAAAGAGGTGACTGATCTAAAAAAAAATAAAAAAAATAAACAACAAACTTTCATCATCTGAAAGTCAGATCATGACAAAGAACCAGAGCGCTGTTAGAAGTCATTTTGTTGTCTATCAGGTTCCGGGGCGTCCGTACTGCAGAAGGCAGCAGTCCGGATCATCAACAGCACAGTGTGCAAGAGTCTCCTGACAGACCCGGTGACCGACAACATGCTGTGTGCTGGAGTCCTCAAAGGAGGCGTGGATGCCTGCCAGGTACAAACTCGAATGCTTGAAAGAGACAGATGTTTTATTAAAACAAATAAACTACATTTCTGTGTTTGTCACACTTTAATGTTTCAGATCAAACAAATTTGCATATTAGACAAGATAACACACAAAACGCAGTCTGTAAATAAAGGTGTTAATTATTAAGGGGGGGGGAATCCAAACCTGCATGGCCCTGTGTGAAACAGTGAACCTAGTAACTGGTTGGGCCACCCATGGCAGCAGCAGCT